CACATCGTATGGCAATCACGCAAGACAGATCAAGAGGAGTTAAAGACTGGCCACAAATTTGTCCTATCCCTACCAGTATACCACTGGTCAAGATGGCAATCAGCGCTAACCTATTATACTGCAAATTTCATGCTCGTCCCAAGGTAGTCGGTATAACGGAGTTTGACTGAAGCACACCATAGAAGTAACGCTAACATCACAAAGAAAGCATCTTTTTGGAAACTGGTCGATCTTTTTCTTTTAAAACTAGTCACTTGAGCATTTAAACAATTTTAAGATGAATAAAGGCAGACCACCAAGGACTGCATCAAAAGTCCTTGAAACTTTATTGCTAATGGCGAATTACCCGCTATAGAACTGGCACTGGAGGACAAGAAAAATTGTTTGTGCTAGAAACACTTTCAATTTCACACCTTGACTTTCTACTTATAATTAATAATAAAATGAACCAAAATTCACTCTTTGCTTCTAGGCAAAAACTATTCTTTACTTTCTGAAAATTAAAAAAAAAACACAAAAAAAAAACGATCATGTTCAGCTATTTTTAAAACTTTGTTAAAATATTCTGACATGTTGGGGAAGGTTGTGGCCTAACAATATATTGCAAGTACACAAGAGAGTTACAGATGCAGCTGTCAATTATTGAGATGTGATGACAATGATGATGGTTACATAAAAAACAAAGATAACTGAACAATCATAAATATCAATGTCTCTAGACCGGTAAGGTCAAAGCCCACAACATCAGGACTCCACACCAACTGCCCAGATGTCAATGTACCCCTCTTACACTGACTCTCTGCCCCATAATGAACAAGAATCAAACCATAAAGGGGATAGCGTTGCAAAATTTAAATCAAGCACAGACAAAGCGAAACAGGCACACAGCAAACCTATTTTCAGGCCCCAAATTTGTTCACGTACATGTATATTATTATATTTAAAACATATATATATATAAAATTTGTACATAATGCAAAAGATATACGTGTCCTGCCGATTTCCCTATGTGTGTGCCAGACTAGATTTTTTTTAAATTATAAAAAAGTGTAAAGCCTTTCAAAAATTTAAAGCATCTGAAACCAATTCAGAAATGATAAATTTATGACAGATATCATTTAAAGCACAACAACAAATTTATTCATAAACTAGTCACAGTTTCCCATTTATTATTCACTATTTTACTATTGAAACCAGGCGACCCCCACCCCCGTCAATTGCAAATATCTCAACTTCTATTTAAGATAGATGGGTAATTTTTCATCGAAAGCAAGACAAATGAACAAACTTTAAGATGACACCAATAACTCCACATGCCCAAAAATTGACGAGCACATAATTCCACTACGCTGTGACATATTGCTTAATTATAAGTGAGTTGAAAATAAAGTGTCTCTAGACCGGTAAGGTAAAAGCCCACAACATCAGGACTCCACACCAACTGCCCAGATGTCAATGTACCCCTCTTACACTGACTCTCTGCCCCATAATGAACAGGAATCAAACCATAAAGGGGACTTGAGAATGTAGGTGAGAAGGTAAAAAGTATACTTCAATTGATATTAACAAAAGTATGTAGTACGCCATTCCTCTCAAAGCACATTCAACCAACCCAAAAAGTCAAAATTACAATTCATACATAGGTAGATTTTTAATTACAATTGACAGATGGCAACCAATGACTTATGAAATAGGTATCAGACATTTGTACAGTCTCATAAGCACATTTTCACCTGTCCCTTAAGCAAAGCATAAGATGAACAACTGCACCCACTAAAAAGAGAATGGCGATGGTAGCATTGCATTTATAAGGAGTCGTCTTTTATGAGAAAAGGGAAATGCCTACTAATTACTGTTTTTAAAAAAATGTTAGATACCAACACTTACTAGTTTCTTTCTACCAAATTACCCCCCCCCCCCCCCCCCCGAAACCACAAGCTAAGCCAACAATAATTCACACAACTCAGCCCAAACCTGTTGAATTTTGCACAACATTGAAATACAAATAAAACCTACCATCCTCATATTTTAAAAAAGCACAGGTGTCAAACTCAGGGCCTATCGACAGCGCCTGATGAATAGTTACATCTGGCCCATGAGGGATGTTTAAGTAGTCACCCTTAGAATCTCCATGACACAGACCCTTTCTTATAACATAAATGAACTTGTTACCAAGAAAAGATGAGCATCCAGCTCAGACAAACTGGCATAAGAGCGAATTGGTACTTTCTTCTTGATTGTCATTATTTAAAATTTGTATGTTTTAATCCACACAAGTGTTTAAAAAAGTTTGAGTCTTTCCAGCGTTCAAAGAGTGCTTATCCAATTCTGACTTGACCTCAATTAGAGTTGGACCCATGAGCTATTATTGACTTTGACACCGCTGATGAAAAGCACAAAGAATTTTTATTGAAATCTTACCCGCTTAAAAAAAAGCACAAACAACCACCCCTAAAACACAGCTCTACATTGCCATGCGTTGAAAACTAACAATTTAGACAAGTCTGATGAGGATGGCACCAATTTCAATAAAAGCCAATACAGCCAGACAGCAGACCAGACCACAGGTCAAAGGCAGTAAATGAGTTAAACAAGCATTTTCCCCACATCTTAAAAACTTATCAAATGCCACAGACCTTTGATGGATGAATGCCTACATGGACATTTGCTCCATTGGCCTTCTCTCTCTGGATTCGCTCAATGTAGACGACAAATTTTTTCCTGTAGACTTGAACAACCTTGCCCATCTGCTGTCCTTTGTAGTGGCCACGGACAACCTGAAATTGAAACAAATTCTCATATATAAATTTCCAGTTTCATAAGGTATCCGAACTACCAATAATTTTTGCATACCAAAAACATTTATTTTAAAAGTGCTACTGGAGAACAAGTAAACCAAATAAGATTCAACACCGTATAATAAAAAACAATCCCTAGTCTAAAGTACTAGAATCAAAAGTACAAATAACTAATTTTGGCACAATAAAAAATAACGCCCCTACTTGAACACCTTCCATGTTCAACCTCTGAGTGATCATCTAGACATACCCATTTCAAGACAACTTAAACCCACATGAAGCCAAAGTACTAACAAGAATGTACAATTTTGAGGCCCCCCCCCCCCATACACCTGCAGTTCAAGCCATGGGTGAAAGTGACACGAGACGGTTTAGCCTGAAAATCTTGTTGTTAGAGAACGGATAGCCTGAAAAGTTCATGATAAATTCACGCTGCCTGAAGGATGGGGTAGGCTTCTTAATTTTCCAGGGGCATGTCACATAACAACAGCATGTGCTCCATTTAAACATATATACTATACAAGTACGTAGCCAACATGATTTCTGACAACAAAATTTCAGTGTGGCACTGGAGTCTTTGTGTGACTTAAATATTTCAGTCTGTTCTTACTTGTTATATATTTTCTTATTAAATTTACCCCC